CGGAGCGGGCGGGCAGGGGAATCCTTGGCCGGGCTGCCCCCACCCCCAGGAACAGGGAGGGGAGGGGGCTCTCTGAGCACGCGCGGAGCGGGCGGGCAGGGGAATCCTTGGCCGGGCTGCCCCCACCCCCAGGAACACACGGGGGGAGGAGGAGGAGGAGGAGGAAGAGGACGGCCCTCTGAGCACGTGCAGAGGGCCTGAGGGCGGGCGGCGGGGGTGCGTTCTCGGCAGGGCTTCCTCTCCCCCCCCGGGAATGGGAGGGGGGGGGGGGCTCTGAGCAGGCGCGGAGCGGGCGGGCAGGGGAATCCTTGGCCGGGCTGCCCCCACCCCCAGGAACACACGGGGGGAGGAGGAGGAGGAGGAGGAAGAGGACGGCCCTCTGAGCACGTGCAGAGGCACCCACGGGGGGAGGCGGGACGAGGCAGCGGATGGGCAGACCTTGAGTTTAGTTTAATTAAATCGGCCCCCCGGGCCTAGAAGGAGGCGGAGGCTGGCGCTGAGCTTTCCCTTTCAGGGACGCGGGGTAGGAGGGGGAAGGGAGGTCGGCAGCCTCTGAGCATGTACAGAAGGCCCGCTCGGTTCATCGGCAGAGGGAGCCGTGCTGCGGAGAGTTGCCTTCTTCCCAGGGGTGCCTCTGTGCATCTGGAGTGGTGCGGGACGAGGGCATGGCCTGTGACCCTTTGTGGAGGGGGTTCTTTCCTTGGATCTTCTGGGCATGGGCAGAGTGCTTCACGGCCCAGGCATCTGCAGGGTATCAGCCTCTGGCCCGGGGGCACCCCGTGCCCTGGGTGGGAAGTTCTGGGCTGTTTGCTCCGCGCCTGGTGGTCTGTTTTATTTGGCCAACTGACCTGCTGCTCACTCCCCGATGGCTCGGAACAGCTTGCGGTAGAAACGCAGGAAGCCGCGTTTGTGAGAACGCAACGGGAATCGAGCAGGCAGACCCTTGTTCAACAGTTGCAGCGAAGCGATCTGTGAGCGGTGGTGATGCCACTCACAATAAGAAGCAGATCCAGCACAGGGCCTTCTTTAGGTCAGTCTGCTGAAGCTGCTTTAAGCCGGGCCCCATCCCGCAGAACGGGGTCTAGGGGCCTCTGAGCATATGCCGAACGCCCTTTTTCCTCATCCCTGTGAAACCTGACATGTTCTCACCTTCAGCAGGAAGTAAAGATAACATCTGCCCTACCTGCTTTATATTAAGCAAGCCTGTCGTTCTCTCTGTTGCGTCTTGGGAAAGTGGCAACCGCTCTGTGATGTGTTAGTGCATTTAGGGGTTGAGCCCTGGGGCTAAAACAGTGGGAGCCCCCTGCGCACGTATTGAGTACTCCTTCCGTTGTTGAGTTGCTACAGATATAACCCCCCCCCCCAATTTACAGTGCATTCTCTATCTTGCAAAAATAAGTCACAACTGGGTGGGGAAAGGGCACATCCACTTAAGTATTTACCGCATTGCAACCTCGGTGTTTGAGGATGTGCGCAAAGGGCTCGAGGATAAAAAATACCTTTATGCTGTATTAGACATTTGCTCTCTCTTTTTTTAATTCTGACTGGCAGCACTCTCCAGGTTTTCCGTGACCTTGCAACCAAGGGGCTGAGGGCCTCTAGGCGTGTGCAGAGTTCTCCATTTCTAAAGAAAATTGGAACGTATGGCATATAGCAGTATGTTTTGTGGGCTGGCTTAAGTAGCACATTAAAGTTTTGACGGCCTTTGTCCTGGGTTTTGATATTGTGTCCTCGAAACGCAGGAAGATATGGAAAAC